AAACCAGCTGGGGAACAGCAGGGGCATCTGCATGGCATCAGCTGCTTTGGGCAACCCCAGAAGAACACAGAGCTGTGGGCTGGGGCACACAGGGAGGGGGGATCTAGATGGGATATTGGGCAGGAATTCCTGGCTGGGAGGGTGGGGAGGGTGCCCAGAGCGCTGTGGCTGTCCCTGGATCCCTGGCAGTGCCCAAGGCCAGGCTGGACAGGGCTGGGAGCAGCCTGGGACAGTGGGAGGTGTCCCTGCCACGGCACTGGATGAGGTTTGAGGTTCCTTCCAACCCAAACCATTCAGGGATTCTGTGATCCTGTTGGATCAGAGACCCCTGAGCACTCAGCACTGCAGAGCTGCACCTCTGGAAAAACATCCTGTAAGCTCAGCTCAGCTCAGCTCAGCTCAGCTCAGCTCAGCTCTGCTCAGCTCAGTTTTTAGCCAGGGACAGAAGCAACACTTTCACAAAACCTTCTGTTCAAGCTGAACCAAACTCACACCAGGGCCACGGGCAGGGGAGCAGCCCAGGGCCAAGGTCCCCTCTCCAACCCGTGTGACACTGACAGAGAACTGCCTGGTGACACCGTGTGGGGCCCAGCTCCCTCACACCCCCCCCGGGATAACTAACAGCTCTTTAATTAATGAACAGCCTGCAATAAGATGACACTGAGCATTTCAAAAGCATTATTAGAGCAGCTCTGTTATTACCAGCCCCTGCACCACAACTGCATTAGTGCTGATGATCTCAGGATGACTGGCTGCACTTACACATCCTTCAGCCCCTGCCCTGATTAACACAACGTTAATCAGCTGATGAGTTCCTGTCAGACAAACCCAATTACAGTTTGGGGTCCCACAGGAGGACTGCAAACATGATATGACTGAGAGGTTACTGGGCAAATGCTAGACCCGCTTAAAATAATGGAAACCAGGCAGGAAAAGAAAATACTTAGGGCAAGAGCTTCACTGTGGCTGCAAAAGCAAAGCAAATCCTGTCATTAGACAGGGATGGGCATTTCTTGCTTTTAAATGGATTTGATTTGCACACAAAGTGTTGAGAAATCTGCCCAGCATCCCACAGGGTGACTGTGGCAAGGGGCAGCACGACAGCCTGGCACGGGCTGGGGATGGGAGATGGATGGCAGGGAAAGAGGGCTCCAGGCATGAGATGAGCACTCCAGCCCCCATTTGGGGCAGGAATTCAGGAATTCAGGAATTCAGGAGCAGACTGTCTGCACCACAGGGTGGTTGTGCAATGAGCACTCAGCTGTGGAGCTGGCCCTGGGCTGAACAGCTTATGCAAATCAAAATCCATAAGAGGATACAGCCCCCAACATTGAAACAAATTAATTTCTTTTTTTTTTTTTTGAAATTGAATATTCTTCAAGGACACATTAAAAAAAAAAAATCTTCTGTAAGTCTCCCTTTGAAATAGAGGAGCAGAGAGAAGGGGGATGTCAGCAGCAGATCAGAATCCAACAGCCCAACCCTGGCCCAGTGAAAACTTTCCATCATTCCCCCCTTAACCATTCCCCAGCACCTCCTTGGAAGTACAAAATTTAGGACCCTGATTGTCATCTCTGATTCCCAAATTGAGTTTTAATTCACACAAGAGGCAAGACAAAGGCTCAGTCACACTGTAAAAGCTGATAATGCCTGTTGTGTTTCTGTTATCAGCTCAGCTGCCTCCTGACATTAAAGGGCATAAAATAATTTTCTAGGAGGCTCTGGGGCAGTTTTTCTAATGGCAACTACAACAATGAGAAGCTGAAATAAACCTAAAAGAGGGATGAGGGATTAAATCTAAGAACTGCACAATCAGCGTTATAGCCAATGTTCCTTAAGCTGCACAGTCAAAAATAGAAAAAAAAAATAAAATTACAGAACTGTGCAAGGCCTAATTTCCAGGAGATGGATCCAACTTCCCTCAGAGAGAGGATCTGCAGCATCACAGTTGCCATGGCTCCCGAGGGAGCTGTACCACAACGCTGGCACCTATTTTAGCAGCACAGACAGGAGCTGATGTTTTCAGAGAAGCATCCTGTTATCCTGGAACACACAGTGTAGGACATGAGGAGCCTGGCTAAAGAGATTTCATCACTGAGCTTCAGCAGGAGGTCCTCCAAAATGCCTTAATCTGGGAGCAAATCACTGCCTGCCCACCAGGGGAAAGAAAGAAGAAAGATGGAAAGGGACTTGGGCAAGGGATGGAGGGACACAAAGTCCATGGGATGTGGGAGTCGGACATCCCTCTGGCTGCCCTGGGACCCTGGCAGGGGTCAGGAACCCCCCTGGACAGAGCCCCCAGAGACACTGGCTGTGATCTCTGGCCATGGAAAAGAGTTTTCAATCTTACAGGATCAATTACAACCTCTGAGGGGTTGATATCAGTAATAATTAAGTGTGGCACGGGTGCAAAAGTAAAATTTTAGAATTCTAGATTAGGGGTCCAAAGGGGACAAGATGGAGGAAATTGGGTGTGCCTTGTCCTTTTTCTCCTTCTTCATGCCCTCCATGTTTCACTGTGGTGTTGGCATTTTTCTGTTGGTTCAGGCTGGGGACACACTGTCCAACGTAGGTGACAGATATTGGCACGTTATTGTAAATCCAGCACAGGTAGTTTGTGGTATTTAATGTTTGTACCATCCCACTGAGGGCAGAGCCCCACACGCTGCCCTGCAGGACAGAGCTGCGGCAGGGCAGCAGAACATGTTAGAGATAAACAGAATAAACAACCTTGAAACCAGCACAGATTAATTATGATTTCTTCTTTGGCAGCGGGGCTGACAGACAGAGACTTTCTACAATCTCAGAATCATCAATAGCACAGATTCCAACAATGGGACACCTGGACTTCCACAGAGGTCCCCTGGCTCCCTGCAGCCCTGCCCAGGGGTGCACTGGCACCACCAGCCCTGGAAAAGGTCACAAAGGTGTGGATGTGGCACTGGGCAATGTGGGTCAGTGGTGGCCCTGGCAGTGCTGGGGTTAAAGGTTGGGCTTCTCCAACCTGAACAATTCCTGATCTCTGCCAGTGGACAAGCACACTCACCTGGCCAGGGATCTCAGCACCTTCCCCTGCCCTCACTGCTGGGCTCAGCTGGGTGCCACTGGGGTGTGAGTTCCCTCTCCAGGCACTCCCACAGCACTTGTGCCAAGTGGGGCACCCAGCCAAGCCCTGGGGGTGTTTCCAGCTGTGCAACAGCTGCTCCATGAAGGGGCAGCAGGATGGAAATGGAGACCAGAGCCTCACTCATGTATCTGCAGTTGTGCCAGGGGCTGCCCAGGGAGATTTGGAGTGCCCATCCCTGGAGGTGTCCCAGGAACAGCTGGAGGTGGCACTCAGAGCCCTGGGCTGGGGACAAGGTGGGCATTGGGCACAGGACTCCAACATTAATGATTCTGAGATTCTGGGAGGGCAAAGCCCCTTCAGCTGCTGTGGGAACACGGCACCAAGAGTTCCAAAACACTCAGCCCTGGAACCATGGGACCCACAAGGATCACTGATCCAACTCCTGCTCTGCACAGACACCCCAAAATCCCAGCCTGGGCATCCCTGAGAGTGCTGTCCAAATGCTCCTGGAGCTCTGGCAGCCTTGGGAATGTGCCCATCCCCTGGGGAGCCTGGGCAGGACCCAGCACCCTCTGGGGGAATTCAGAGCTGGGCATTCTGAGCTCCTCCTAAAAACCCCATCCAACCAACAGTTGACTCTACAAAGTGTTGAAAGGAGGAAAGCAATGGAAGGTTATCAAAGCCCTGAGTAAACTGACATCAGGACAACGTCCAGGTGCAAAGTTTGTGCCAATTTACTCACAGGCTGCAGTGCTACTCTGAGCCAGGACTCCTGCAACCTGTGCAAGATATTCAGGAGGAGCTTTTCCTTCACAAACTCCTGGCAGACAATGGAAAGGCTTGGAAGAAATGCTGGTTGTGTAAAAGAGGCTGCCTCCAGATTTCCCTTTGTTTTGTTGCATCATGCACCAAAGAGCATCACTTCTGCAGGCACAAGTTCATGCAGAGAACACCACTTCCACTAAAATAGAACTACTTCAGGTTATGCAACACTCATTAAAATTACAAAACCTCTCAAAAACCTGAGCAGCATGTTAAGGCACTCTGGAGCTCGGGGTCTGGTGAGTTAGTGGCTGCATCATGCAAACTGGCAGCAAGAAACTCCACAGGAACAGCAACAAACTTCCATGCCTGATGACAAGGCAAAAATGGAGAGCACCTGAGGGCAGGGATAAACTTCCCGGCCCATCTTGGCAGAGCAGGGTTCACAGAGATGCCAACTCTTTCTGAGGAAGCTTTAGAATGAGCACAAGTACAAGAATATTTGTAATTTCATCTCTAGCCATATTTCAGAATTTCTAAGAACTGGATTCAGTTCTGTGGGATGAATTCCAGCTCATTTCCTATGAGCACAGGGTCCTTGTTTCCTGGAGAACAGCCAGGGTGCCCAGCCCTGGATGCTGACCAGCCCATCCAAAGTCTCCCAAGAGGGATAAAGTCCCAACATTTCCATCAGTCCCACCATTGTTTTGTTAGAGCTGCTTTGGAAAAGGCTTTGATTCTAGAAGGAAACACATTTTGTGGATGAAGAGGCTCAAGGAGGCTTAAGCCAAACCAACTGCAGGAGGAGAAGGGGATGCAGTCGGTGTGAGGTGGGATAAAGCCAAACCCTGCCAACAGCAGGGACCCAGAATATTCCCTGCCCCTGGCATCCTCCATCCCTGAGCAGGGTCAGGGGACACTTCACAGCACAGCTCACGGCCACTGGCACCCCAACACTCCCCAGCACCCCTCACCTCAATCCCAACGGGGCAGAGCTCTGGCACTCACAGCCAGCTGCCAGCCCCCGACTTTGGGAACGAGCACTGTGAGCCAGGCAAGCAGCCCCAGCAGCCCCTGGCAGCAGGCAGCACCCCTCATGCCACGCTGGGATGCCACTGGGGCTCATGCCAGGAGGGCAGGACACGCAGCAGGGCCTGGCACACACACACACCTCTGTCCGGCCGCCGGGGCACGGCTCTGGCCGCCAGGGCTGGCACCAGGGCTGGCACCAGGGCTGGCCCCCCTCGGGCCTTGGTGGGTCTCATGTAGCCCTTGAGCTGCTCTGCTGCCTTCACTCTCTCTTTCTTTGCCTCCTTCACTGCTTTCTGTTCATGGTCTTCTTCAGCCTGTTTAGCTGAGGCTCGAGATTCCTTTTCTTTGGCTGTGTCTTGAGATTCTTCTTTAGTTATTTCTTGAGATTCCTTTTGTTTAGCTGTGTCCTGAGACTCCTTTTCTTTAGTTACTTCTTGAGATTCCTTTTGTTTAGCTGTGTCCTGAGACTCCTTTTCTTTAGTTATTTCTTGAGATTCCTTTTGTTTAGCTGTGTCCTGAGATTCCTTTTCTTTGGTTATTTCTTGAGATTGTTTTTCTTTATCTGTGTCCTGAGACTCCTTTTCTTTAGTTACTTCTTGAGATTCGCTCTCTTTGGTTATTTCTTGAGATTTCTTTTCTCTAGTTGTTTCATGAGTTTCTCTTTCTTTATTTGTGTCCTGAGACTCCTTTTCTTTGGTTTTGGCTTGAGGTTTATCCACCTCAGACTTTGACACCGGAGCGTCCATCAGGAGAACCTCCCCAGCACGAGGAGCATCACCCTTCAGGAGAGCAGGGCCCTCCTCTGCAGGCTGACAGGAACCTTTTTTGTTCTCTTTGAGCTGTTTTTGGGTACTTTGGGCAGCTGTCCCAGCAGCCTCAGTGCCCTGGTGTTGGGGTGAGTTCTGCTCACTCCTCATGTCCCCAGCCCCTGTGCTGCCAGGTGTCCCTGCAGGGGTTGGGGACCTCCCTGTGCCCTCCTCTGCACATGACACAGTGGCCCCTGGTCCCCCTGTCCCCTCAGCAGCTCCAGAGGCTGCTCTGTGTTTTGGATCTGCTGCCTCCTGAGGAAGCTCTGAGGGAGCCTTGGCAGTGTTGTGCTTTTTATTAGTGGGTTTGATTTCTTTATCATTCACCTTTGCCACGGGACAAAGGTGACTTTTGTCCTTGGGCTGGCCACCCTGGGAACCAGCCTCTCTGCTCTTCCCATCTTTTTGGGAAAACTCTTTTCCAGGTTCTTTGGGCTGCTCACGAGATTTTTGTGTCTGAATCTCCTTCTTAGCACCAGGTCCAAGTTCTTTGCTGCTCTTCTCTGCCACTGCTTCCAGAGGAGGAGGAGGAGGAGGATGAGGAGGAAGGCCCCCAGTCCCTGCACCCTGCTCTCCCTGCTTTGGGAGGCCACAGGGAGCATCACCCCCATCACCAGGGCCACTTGCTGGGGTCTGAGACATGGATTTGAAGTCACTTCCTTTATTATTCCAAAGTTTTTGAGGGCCAGTGGGAAAGTTTTTAATGTTTCTGTTTTCATCTACGAGATCTGTGTCTTCCACCCCACCTTCCAGCCCAGATCCTACAGCAGGCTGTGCTTCACTCCTGTCTGGTTCTGCCTCTAGAGGAACAGGCTGCCTGGAGGCATTTTTAGCCTTTTTACTGCTTCCATCATAGCCCCTCTTTTTAGATCTCTCAGTGACTGGGGCCAGGCTGGGATCTGACACTGCTGGATGCTCTGGAATAGGATTTTTATTCCTGCTGCAAGGACTGACACCTCCTGCCTCAGGTTTGTCCCTGATCTCCAGGCCAGCAGGAGGGAACACCCCTGCTCCTGCTTTATGCTCCTGCTGTGGGTCAGGCTCCCCATTTTTGTGTTTCTCTTCACCACCTGCATGTGCCTTCCCTGGCTCCAGAGGCAAAGCAGGAGCCTGTACCTTGGCAGGATCAGGCAGGTGACCCAGCAGCACCTCTGGACTCCTGGAATTCTCTTTGCCCTCCTCAGACTGGGTTTGTTGAACATGTCCCACTGCAGAGATGTCACCTGGCTGCAGCTCAGGACTGTGCTCAGCCCTTTTGCCTTTCCCATCTCTGCTTTTACCCTTGGGCTTGTCCGTGCCCAGTTCCCTGGTGGGACTGTGCATCCCTGCCCTGTGCTCTGGGAGAGGCTGGGATTTATCTGCTTCCTTCCCTTTATTCACAGGCCAAGTTTCCTTAGTGTCCAAGTTTCCTTTCTTTATTTCTGGCTCTGAAGTCTCTGCTTTATGGCCTGAAAGATTTGGCTGCTCAGAGAAGCTCCCAGTGCCACCCTGGATTTTGGGCTTCCCCAGCTCCTCCTCCAGCCTGTCTCTTTGCAAACCAGAGCCCTTCTCCTTAGCCAAGCTCATTTCCTTCCTGCCTCCAGCCACCTGCTCCTGCCTGGCTTCTCCCCCAGCCCCCAGGACTGCTGCCTGCCCAGAGGGGCTTTTCTCAGGCTGTTTCCTTCTCCCATCACTGCTCCTCTTCCTGGGTTTCTCTGCCAGCACCGGCACATCCGAGCAGAGCCCAGCACCTCCAGCTTCCCTGCCTTTCCCAGCCAAACCCACCTGTTCTGAGGGGCTGATGGTGGCAGCCAGAGGAGCAGCAGGAATTTTGGCTCCCTCTCTGCTCTTCTCCAGCAGCAAAGCTTGGTCTAAACCTCCCAAACCAGCTGTTTCACCATTCCCAACATTTTCTTTCGGTTTCTCTGGTCCCAGCTCAATTGGCCTTTGCATTTTAGCTGCATTTTCCTGCAAGCCCCCAGCAGGGACACAGCCCTGCTCTCTGCCCTTATCACTGCCCTCCTTCACCTTATCAGCTGCCTCAGGAAAACTCTCCGAGTCCACCTTATTCTCAAGGAAAGGCTGCTGGAAAAAGCTCCTTTCCCCTTTTTTGCTCCTTCCATCGCTGCCTCTTTTTTTGGGCTTGTCTGCAGGACAGGCCTGTGCAGCACTGCCTGGTGGGTGTCCTCTGGCAGGAACACCCTGGCCATTTTCAGAACAAATTGTTTCCTTTCCAGCCTCATCTGTCCTCCCTCCTTCAGTGAATTTGCCTCCATCCTCTGAGAGCATCATCTGCTCCCAGCAGCTTTTCATTCTTTTGCCTTTCCCTTCGCTGCGCTTTTTTTTAGGCCTGTCCATCCCGTGTGTCAGGCTGGGATCTTTCCCAGCCTGCTGCTCAGAAGCAGTGACTCCTTTCCCTTGGTTTGGGTCTGGGGGATCTGCTGCCAGCCCCCTGCCCTCTGCCTGGCCAGGGCTGGGATGTCTGGGAGCACCCTGGGCTCCTCTGCCCTGCCCAGCTGGAACTTGCCCAGCTTTTGGTGAAACTGGAACAGGAGCTCCAGGAGCTGCTGGGCTCCTCAGTCCTCCCTCTGACCCTCTCTGACTTTCTCCAGCTGCCTTTGGCTCTGTAGGGAGCTTTTCCTCCATGGCTGCAGCCTCCAGGTGAGGCTGTTTGAGGGATTCCCTTTCAAGCCCTTTGCTTTTTTCCCAGCTTTTCTTGGCTGCTGTTTCCAGGGAAGGCTGACGGACGGAGTCACCGGGTGCTTCCTGCCCTGGAGATGGGGTTTGGGGCTCCTTGTTTTTATGGCAAAGGGGCAATTCCAAAGGGCTGGTCTGTAAGGGAGCTTCTGCTTTGCTCAGATTGACCTTCAGCTCGGCACCTTTTGACTCTTTGTCCTCCCTCTTCTCATTTTTATTGGGGAAATCTCTCTCTGTGGCCTTGGTGGGTCCCTTGGCTGCAGCAGATTCCTCCAGCTCAGTCTTGCCCATGTGCTCTGAGGGAAACTCTTTGCTTTTGCCCTTAGATCCCAGCAGCACGCAGCTGTCACCTCTCCCTCTCTCTGTTTCCATCTCCTCCCTGGGTCTGGCATCCAGCACACCGGATTTTGGGCCCTGCTGTCCTGGGGCTGGCACTGGGAAGGAGTTTTGCTCCTCCAGGATATGACCCCCAGTTGTTACTTTAGCATCCTGTGGCACATCCAGGGCTCTGCTTCCTGAGGGTGTTCTGGGACACGTGTCTGGGTTCTGCCACTCCACCCCAAAGGGAGCGCTCCTGGCACCTCTGGAGGTTCCGTTCTCATCCCAGAACTCCATCCCTCGTGGCAGCTGGTTTCTCCTTTGCTTTGGTTTCTTTTTCTTTTTCTTCACCATGGCACCTTCCAAATCCCAGCTTTCCTGGGGGGGATCTCTGCAGCTCTCCAGAGGCTCCGTGGGGACATTGGTGGCCTTTTTGTGAGGAACCCTAAAGCGAGGGGATGCTCCAGCACCACAGCCAAGCTCCACTGTGGAACAGGGGTCTGCTCTGGGCTCAGGACTCTTCTGCTGTGGGAGACCTACGGGATGCTCCTCTGGCACATCTGTGAGAGGCACTGGGGCAGGTTTTGCTCTGCCAAACCCACGGTCCCTGGATTTGGGAGCTTGCCTGACTTGTGCAGTGGGAAGACCTGGAATACAGGAAGCCTGCTCAAACATCAAGGCCACTATTTGCTTGATAAAAGAAATAATAAATATATTCTCTGTGTGGCTGCAGCCCTCTCAAACAGGCCCTACAGGCAGATGTGCAGGATTTCCCAGCACTGGAACCACACCAGAGCCACCTCAGGAGGGCTGGGGTAGGTATTTACCCCAACACCTGTGTGATCTACCCCACAAGTCTGACACAGGCTCTTGCCCCACCAAAAAGCACCAGTTCTTGCAAGGACATGCCATTGCTTTTAAAAAATGCATTAAGGATCCATTTTGTCTCAGCAAGACAAGATCAGAGAGAGCCTTTTTATATCTCTAGCTGGCATCCTTCCAGAGTGGGAAAACAGAAGTTTAGTGGGAAGACGGGAAGAGAGATGGGGGCAAGAGAGCCAAGTTTCCCCAGCACCCAGGGAGGAAGCAGGGGAGGCAGAACCTCTGTCCCAGGGTCACCTGCTGTGTCCCTGGGGATCCCTCAGGGCATGAGGAGAGCAGCAGTTGTTTCTCACTCAGCCCTGGCCCACAAATCCTCCTCCACACCAAGTGTGAGCAGCACCAGCCCCTCTGGAGGCTGGGTCAGTGGAGCAGGAGAAAAATCACATCTTCCTTTGGCAATTGCACAGCTCAGCTGGGAAGGAGATCCTCCCTGGGAATGTCCTGGTGAGAATTAACAGTCCTTTGCAACACCAAAATAAAAGCCAGTGCTGATGGCAGAGCTGAGAGCTCTGCAATCCTCCAGCACAGCTGTGAGCCAGTCCCAGTGACAAAGCACTCAGAGCACTCGGATTTGGGCTTTTAGTTTGAATGTGGAGGGAAAAGAGCCTTGGAGAGGGCAGGGATCCGAGGGGAAGGGTGAGCCCAGCACCAGGAGCACTGAGAGCCACACAAAGACATTTCTGCTTGCCCAGGTGGCCCCACAGCCAGGAGCAGAAGATGAAGAGTTCCCAAAGTTTCCATGAGGAAATGGAAGTACATTTTATATTATGATTTCTATCCTACCTGTGGGCTCCTGCAGGGTTTTCTCCTCCTGAGGTTCTGCATGTTGGACATGGTTGTGCTCAGCCTCCTCCTTCTGTGTCTCACCATCCTCAGCAGGAGCAGATTTTTCTGGAAGGTCTCTGTTTTCTAGTGCTTCTTTTGCTTCAGCTGGAACATGAAAGACAGGAAAAGAAAGCTTCAGGTCTCAGGAGTACAGGCAGCCTGCAGCTAAACCCCAGCCCTTGCAAAGGGGTTAATTTTGTGTTCAACAGGAATGAGGTTTATGAGACGTGGCTGGTTCATCCCCTCACCATCCCATTTCAGCAGCACTTTTATATTTGGCACGTGCCAAGGTGGGGGTAGAACACAAAGCAGGGGCTGTTTCAGGGCTTTTAAGCACAGGGTGAGGGTTTGTTTGGGTTTCTTCCTCTTTGTAATCAGCCCAATTCAGACTATCCCAGCTTCCCACTGGGAATTCAAATCCAGAATGAACTCCATTATCAGCCTGAAGTCCCTGGCTAATGCTGATCATCTTGTATTCATCTATACCTTACAATACATCCATACAGCCACCACAACATTCCTTATTCTGCATAATTACAGCCAGTTTTAATTTGTAAGGCATAATTACAAGGGAGAGCAGTTCTCTCTGTAATTAATTTTATTTAAATTTTAAAACAGAAAGGAAAACTATGACAGGCACTGGTACAACTGCTGTGCACGAGGAAGGGAAGGACGAGTCCTGTGAATGTGCCCCGTGCCAGAAGCCCCTGAAATCCTGTTTGGGATTGCAGTTTGGAGCCTGGCCCTGCCTGGGGGCAGCAGGCAGTGCCTGTGTGGGGCAGAGCTGTGCCCTGGCTGCATTTCCCACCTGCTGCCTCCAGCTGCTGGTTGGTTTTCCCAGGAATTTCCTCCTCCCGGGGGCTTGGGGGAGGTTTCCCGTCCTTCATCTTCTCTGAGTGATCCACACAAACTTCTGGGACTTTGGATTCTGCCTCCAACTTCGCTGTTGCTTCTGCAAATGGAATGCAAAGAGTAAAAATTCCTGGTTTTAAATATAGATCAGATTAAATTAGATAAAATTCACTCCCTCACCTAATTTGTTATCTCCTGCAAGGAACTGAAAGGTTTCCTCACTTTCAAAACCTGATTTTTAGGATCTCTCTACCTTCCTGCATTGTCTTGCACTTCCTCTTTTATTCACTCACCTGGGCCTCTCAGTCTCTACATTCCAGTGTGGTTTTTTTGTTAAAACTTCTCTCTTGAAATTTATCCTCATCATTAAACTGAAGAGTATTAGAAGATAAGATAAAATATCTCACTCCAATCCCATCCACAACCAATCCATATATGCTGTCTCTGCCCAGGACTATTTGTTGCATTTTAGTAATATAAATATAAAATAAACACAATTTTGGAGAGCAGTTTTCTCTCCAGAGGGATGTTGTCCCTGGAGAAATCCACACAGCACAGCAAACCTGCACATGGAAGACCCAACACACCCTTCCCAGCATTCAACACCTACAGTCATCCCAAGGAAAGCTCCCAAAATTATCAACTAAGCCTTTTAATCTCTTCAGAAATTGTTTTCAAGAACCTCTGTTTGTCAGCTCTGTGTCCTACAGGGTTTGGGAGATTTCAGGGAGAGCTGAGGGTGGTGGTGACACAGAGCAGGGATGAGCCAGCACCTCTCCATGGCTGTTCTTAGACCACTCAGCCCTGCTGAATGCCCAATGAAAATTTAAAAATCATTACAACCCTCTAGTTTTATGTTTTGTCACTGAAGAATCCCCGTGATGCATTTTCTGTGTATCCTGAGAGCAGAGCTGAGCTCTCCTCAAGGTGCTTCACCCAAAGCCAACCAATGCTGGGCTCTGTGACCTCAGAGGCCTTTTGCAACCTGAATTACCTGTGATGGGATTCTGGGATTCTGGGATTTGGGCACACTCACCTGCAGGAGGCTTGTCCTGCTGAAGGGCAGCCTCAGATGTCAGCAGCTCCCCAGACACAGCAATCCTGGGGGCAGCTACAGGGCCAGGCTGAGCTTCCACTGCCACGCTCCCACCATCCACAGCAGGGCCAGGCTTGGCTGGAGCTGCAGGAGCAAACCCAGAATCCAGGCCATGGTGGTGGTTGACTTGTGCTGCTGGGCCAAACTCAGATCCCATAACATCCTGAGCTTTGTTATCTGCTGCTGGAGCAAATCCCAAATCCAAGGTATGGTGAGGTTCCACATCTGCTGCCGGGGCAAACCCCAAATCCATGGCCTGGTGGGATTCCACATCTGCTGCAGGGGCAAACCCCAAATCCATGTTCTGGTGGGATTCCACACCTGCTGCTGGAGCAAACCCCAAATCCACGGCCTGGTGGGACTCCACACCTGCTGCTGGGGAAAATCCAAAATCCATGGCTTGGTGGGACTCCATACCTGCTGCTGGGGCAAATCCCAAATCCATGTTCTGGTGGGACTCCACATCTGCTGCTGGAGCAAACCCCAAATCCATGTTCTGGTGGGACTCCACACCTGCTGCTGGAGCAAACCCTAAATCCACCCCATGGTGGGATCCAGCATCTGCTGCCGGGGCGAAGCCGAGCTCTGTCCCCGGGGTGGACACATCATTGACCCCTTTGGCAGGGCTGGCTTCAGGTGCAGGGGAAAAGCCCCCATCTGTGGCCTGGAAAGGGTTGGCTGCTGCTGCAGGGCTCTGGGGAGGTTTGGTGTCTCCAGCAGGGACAGCCCCGGCCTTCTCTGCGGGAAGGGACGCGGCGTCGGTGGCAGGAACAGAGGCTGCACCTGGCAGAACACAGACACACAGGTCAGGGAAAACCCCATGGCAGCTCCTGACCTGCTGCTTTGTGGCTGGGCAACACTCAGGGCTCACCCCCTGCATCTCCTCCTGGCTTTCAGCACCACCTCCTCCCCCTGCCAGCAGCTCATCCCAGTTGCTCCAGTCCTTATCCACTGCTGGATGCATCCAGAGGCTCTCACACTGCAGCCCTGGATGCAGTGGGGCTCCCATCTGCTCCAGCCCTGGGAGCAGCAGCTGGGATGGATTGCTTCTGTTCCAAAGCTCCCTGATGCCACGCAGCTGGCAGGGGGCCAGAGCTGCTGGCTCCTCTGCCAGGAGCACATTCCAGCAGAGCCCAGCCAGGAACCACAGCCAGCAGCTCCCGCAGAGCCCCAGCGTGGCTGGAGCTGGAAGGCACCTTAAAGATGTCCCAGCTCCATCCCACTCTCTTCTCCTGGCAGGGACACCTCCCACCATGCCAGGCTGCTCCATCCTGGGGCACTTCCAGCAGCCACAGCTCCCTGGAAAAGCTGTTTTTCCCTCTGCTGCAGGATACAGAAAATGTGGAATCACCTGTGTGAACCCAGCAGGTTTTCCAAGAGCAGGAAAAGTCCTGGCACACTCCAAAGCCACACACTTCATTCTAAACATGGTTTGTGCTGGTGGTGGGGTTTGGGTGGTGCTGGCACTCCTGACACAGAATCCTCCCACTAATCCCAAATTCCCTCTATTCCTTCGAATTGGCCTCGTTCGTTTTTCACACAGTATCTCCTAACACTGAGCTGGTAGCTCCAAACCAACATTTGTCACTTCACAGCACTATCAAACCTCTGCATTTAAGCTCCTATTTGCCTAAAATCCCCTTGAAGGAGGTTGTTCAGTCAGTTTTTGTTTAATGTTTCAGCTCTCCAGAGGCAAGCTTTTCCAAATGATCAGTGCCAGAAGCACTGGATCTCTTTTCTGCAGCTCCTCATCTCGACAGCCCCAAGCTCTGCCCACCCTCTGTGTCCTGCAGCTCAGTGCCCTGAACATCTCCCATCTATTGCTGATGACCAAAAACCAACATTTCTACTGATTTTTTCAGTCACATCTAAAAATATCCTCCCCAACCAGTGGAAAATGTATGAAATCTAAATTAGATACTTAAAATGAAGCCATAAAGAAATAGAATAATCAAAAAAGTCCCTTGTAAAATGGTCCTTAAGGATGCATTTAGATAAAACAAATATTTTAGTGAACTAAACCAAAAGGATCCATCATGCACCAGCCCTCATTTGGGTTTCACTTTGTTGTGGGGTTTTTAAGTGATATCATAATATTCTCCAAAGGAAAACTTAAAGATTGTGATTTTGCACATGAGTAAGACTGTAAATAAATAGATATGAAAAGCAGTATGGATGATGCCTGGAGAATTACAGAAATGAGTGGGATAAAGGATTAGGAAACTGGACAACAACTGGCACTATGAGTCTGTGTATAAATACATTAAAAATGGGGTTCTTTTAAAGAGAATCTTTTAAAAGGACAGGTTACAGGTCCTTGTGAATAGATCTGGCACCTGGGGCCGTGGGTCAGTGGTGGCCTTGTCAGTGCTGGGGAGGGGTTGGACTTGGTGACCTCAGAGGGCTTTTCCCCCTAAACTATTCCCTTATTCTGTGCTGCAACCACAGCCTTGGGATTTTCCTGGAGCTAAAATGCAGAGACAGCAGAGAACCACAGAATCAGCTCCTGATCTGGGACACAACTGAGCAGGTTTGCTGCATCCCCCTCAGGTGTGCCCACACCTGCAGGCACAGCAGATCTGTTCACACCTCGTGTGTTTCCCTCAGGAGAGGCAATTCCATGTTCTCCCACCCCCTGCCCCACGCTCCAGGCTGCAGGAATTCACCTGGAGCTGCAGCCTTTGGTCCATCCGTGGCTGCAGCCTCTCCTGGGAGTGCTGAGGCTGCAGCAGGAACGTTTCCAGGGGCTGCTGCTGCCGTGGGGCTCTCAGGCAGGCTCGTCCTGATGGCTTCTGTGGCTGCGGGGGGCACTGGGAACAGAAGCAGATGGAATCAGCACCTGGAAAGGCCTCGGATCATGGAGTTGCTGGGATGTGGGAGACACCCCCAGGTGCTGCCTCAGCCACCCAGGGAAGGGAATCCCCCTCAGCTCAGAGGAAATCAGCTTGGATTGCTCACTCTCAGGAAAATAATTTGTGCAGCACCCAGGAAAGCTCTTGGATCCCAGGAGAAGGGGCAGAGCTGGGGAGTGCTGTGCTGCAAACCCTCCCAGTCCTACCCCCAGTTCCAGAAATACTTCCTACCCATCACCAGGGTGAAACTGTTGGCAGCTTCTTCACTGAAATAAAGATCCCATTATGGGTCGAATTTTGTAATACACACAAATTCCCAGTGGGATAATGTCCCAGTGGAGCTTCAAAGATTTATCTGTGACCAGAATTTAAAGGTAATTGTAAAATCCCAGGAAGGTTTGGGTGGGAAGGGACCTTAAGGATCACCCAATCCCACCCCTGCTATGGCAGGGACACCTTCCACTGTCCCAGGCTGCTCCCAGCCCTGCCCAGCCTGGCCTTGGGCACTGCCAGGGATCCAGCTCCTCTGGGCACTCTGTGCCAGGGTTTTTAACTTCTTAACTGTTTTTTACCTGGTGGCTCAACAAAGAAAGAGGTATCTGGTCCCTTCATGTCCTGCTGAGCTCCCATCCAGTATTCTTCAGGGGCTGTGGGAAACAAACACACTGAGTCCAGCCCTGACCCACAGGGCCTTGACTTTCCCAGGGGAAGGTCCTGACTCTGCTGGGTTTGGAGTTCATCCTCTGGGAATTTCAATTCCCTCTACAAGAGGCACCAGAACCTCCTGTTCTTCCAGGATTATTGGGAGTCAGAGCTCCCATCAGACAAGAGCTACACCCAGCACTGGCCCCAGGAGCCAAAAGAGGAGTTTCTTTCCTCAGCTCTCCTGGGAAAGGGTGCTGGGTAGCCCAGCCTAAGCAGGAGGGTTGGAAAGGTTCTAATCTCAACCATCCTGTGACCTCCTAATGTCGAATCCCAGAATGGTTTGGGCTGGAAGGGACCTTAAAGCTCATCTCATGGGCAGGGACACCTTCCACTGTCCCAGGCTGCTCCAAGCCTCATCCAACCTGGCCTTGGACACTGCCAGGGATCCAGGGGCAGCCACAGCTTCCCTGGGAATTCCAGCCCAGGGCCTCACACCAGAACGTTGCCCTGAACCAACAGCTGGCCATGCCAAGAGGAAACTTCCCAATCTCGACTCATTTTTTTATCAACTCTCCACCAAGATTCTTTAGGGCTCGTAAACTGGGATTTCCCAGCTGCAAACCCTCCAAACCCAGCCAGTCACAGAAAACATTTGCTTCTCACCTGCTTTTCCTGGCAGGAATTCTGGGCCTGAGTCGAGGCCAATGAAGGCTGATGGGTCCAGAGCCTCTGCAGGGGAATACAGGGATCCCAGGAAAGGTTGTTCAGGTCCCATCATGGATCCATGTGGAGCTAAGGAAATAAAAAAACTTTTGTTAATCATCAACCCTAATGACTCCTCTCCTAAATTTCAAGTCCTACCACACTTGGATTGCCCTGCTCAGCAGCAGTCCAGATAAATCTGCATCAAATGCTAGTTCTGCTTCACAAACCATAAATTCTGTATTTAGCAGAACTTTCTGACAAGGTGTACGAGAGTAAGCACAGGCAAATGATTTCCTTTGGCTTTCTGCTTCTGCTCCCATGAATTCCAGATGGTAACCTTTAATAATCCAATATTGATATAATAATCCAAGAGTTGAATTCCTGAAGAGCACTTTGCAGAAACAGCTCCTGAGTATCAGGGTTTTACCCATTAAATAAAGAACAGGGGGAAAAAAGGCTTGTGAATTTACAACTGTGGTAACCTCCCTCGTGGATCCCCCTGATGGGGAGACCCCTAAAAAGTTCTGTGATGGGACTTTTGGGTTTTTTTCGGTTTTCAAGTTGTTGTTTATTTTTCCTCTTACCAGAAGTTCTGCACGCTGTGTGCATGCCAGACTTAGAGTACAAAGAGAAGGCACCAAAAGTCACAAGAGACACAGATTCAAGGTATTTTTAAAATTATTTTATCCAATTAACTCTTAGAATGTATTTTATTTCCACCTTTCTATATATTTGATTTCCACCTTTCTACTAAGAAAGATAGAAATGGGTTCCAACATCAACCTTCATTTTCAGTACATGAAAACGAGCCTTCAACCAACATCCCTGGGTTCCAACATCAAGCCTTGTTTTCAGTACATGAAAGACAAGAGAGAAAAGTGCCCAGCTGGCAGCTGGGGAGGGATGCCCAGGGCAGCTCACCGAGGATGTCCCTGGCAGCGTCGGCGTGGCCCGGGAACAGCGGCACGTTCTTCATGTCCGTGGGGAAGGACAGGTCCGGCAGGTTCTCCCCTCTGTGCATGCTGAAGGGGTCTGGCAGAGACACAACCAGGCAGGGTCACCACACAGGGTGACAGGGTCACCACACAGGGCACAAGGAGCACCATTGCAACAAGAGGATGGAGATGCAGCAGGTCCCAAAGCTGCACTTCCAAGAAAAAGCTGCTTTTGGGATTATTCGCCAGGAGCAAACCCCCTTGCAATTAGAATTTACACCCAACAGTAACACCCAGTTGTTCAGGCTGATTTCTGGGGAAAGTGGAATCGTGACTGTTCCTGGAGAAACTGTGCCCTCCCCTCCAGGAGGGACCATCTGCCTCAGCCCTGATGGACACAGCCCATGAATCTGAGTCAGGAACAAGGGCTCAGCTCAGCTCAGCTCAGCTCAGCTCACCCCAGAGCAGGGAATGGTGTGGGATCTCTGAGCACTCCCAGCAAGGAACTGCATCCCAGTATGAACTGGGGTGATGGACTGGTATTTTAAGCAAGTTACTGGGAAATTGAAACATCTCCTTTAATCTCAGGCAGAACGTCCTACCCCTGGAAGTGTCCAAGGCCAGGCTGGACAGGGCTTGGAGCAGCCTGGGACAGTGGAAGGTGTTCCTGCCATGGCAGGGCTGGAATGGGATGGGCTTTAAGGTCCCTGCCAACCCTACCCTGTGGCAGTGGAAGCCATTCCCTGGGTCCTGTCCCTCCATCCTTGTCCCCAGTCCCTCTCCAGCTCTCCTGGAGCCCCTTCAGACCCTGGCAGGTCTCTGAGCTCTCCCTGGAGCCTTCTCCTCTCCAGGTGAACATCCTATTTCCAGACACTGGATTTCCTCCAGTTAAACCCAGCTCAGAGGGATTTGGTTGAGGGCTGTGGCTCATTTTCATGCCAGATGTGCTCCCTGCAGGGCTGACACTGAGCTGTTCCCATGCCCACAGTGGGATGGGATGTCAAGATCAGGTGAGCTGAGTGAATTCCTTTATAAACCTGTCAGATTATTTGAGATGCCAAGACAACATCTTGCCTTGGAGCAACGTGCAGAATATTTTGATTTTGAGCTGTTTACAACAGTATTGCTACGTCTGAACAACTGCCTTCTTCCCAATTAAAAAAACAACCCCAAAAAACAAGGAAAAAAAAAAAAAAGAGCATGACTGAAACCAATTTAAAACTAAAAGAGATCCTGCTGATGTTCTCTCTTTGCCCAGCAGTTCGATGATGTGGAAAAAACGAGCAGCTCAGATCTCTGGGCCAACCCATCTCTGCTCCAGAGGGAAAAGGGAGAGCTGAAATTTCCCCTCTTTCTCCCCAAGAAAAAAGGAATTACAGGGATGGTGGTCAGGAGACCCTTTACACCACTGGCCAGAGAATCCTCTCCTTGGGGGGAAATCATCCTCCCATATTCCAGAGAGTGGGTACACAGATATTGAATAAACCCCATGATTTCTCTGAGTCTGATGTTCTCATTTTTCTCCTCTTGACAAATCCTTAAAGCTGCTCTGTGTCCTCTGATCCCTCTGCTCCATTATGGGAGCTCTAAGCAGAATCTCATTTATATCCAATTGGAAGAGCACCATAACACAACCCTAACTTTGATCCTGAAATTTATGTGGGGCCTGCACAGGTGTGCAAGACACTCCAAGGACATGAAACCTAAAAAAATGGGGTCTCATGCAACAAATAAACTAAAATATTCGTATTATTCAGGCCAAAAGAACACTGGGTGATGGGCCAGGTATGTAAATTGTTCCTAATTAGCAAATTTGACATCTGGCTCTTGAGCAGAACAACACCTATGTCCCATTCCTGCACCCACACAGCAACAGGAGGGAAACCCCAACAAACCTGTGACTTTTCCAGTTCTTCCATGAACCATTTCTTACCCTTGTAAAAACACAAAAGGTCTTCACTGCATGTCTTACAGAGATTCAGTCAGTAAGAAAACCATGCACTAAGAAGGGCTACAGTACTCAAAAATATATAATAAAAACAAAATTCCAGCTGTATCTTTCCAGGTTGATTGACCATCAACTCCAACATTTGACAAAATAGCCCCAAAACACACCACAAAATGCGGTGTCTGCCTGGGTTTTGAACACTTCAGGGATGGGGACTCACCACTGCCCTGGGCAGCCCCTTCCAACACTCAACCACTCATCCTCAGGGATGGAGCCCACAGTACCTGAGGGGAGCAGGAGCCCCTCAGGGATGGAGGTCATGATCAATGAGGGGAGCAGGAGCCCCCTCAGGGATGGAGGCCATGGTCCATGAGGGGAGCAGGAATCCCCTCAAAGATGGAGGCCACAGTACCTGAGGGGAGCAGGAGCCCCTCAGGGATGGAGGCCATGGTCCATGAGGGGAGCAGAGATGGAGGCCATGGTCCATGAGGGGAGCAGGAACCCCTCAGGGATGGAGGTCATGATCAATGAGGGGAGCAGGAGCCCCTCAGGGATGGAGGCCATGGTCCATGAGGGAACAGGAGCCCCTCAGGGATGGAGCCCGCAGACCATGAGGGGAGCAGAAGCCCCCTCAGGGATGGAGGCCATGGTCCATGAGGGGAGCAGGAATTCCCTCAGGGATGGAGGCCATGGTCCATGAGGGGAGCAGGAGGCCCCTCAGGGATGGAGGTCATGGTCCATGAGGGGAGCAGGAGCCCCTCAAGGATGGAGGCTATGGTCCATGAGGGGAGCAGGAATCCCCTCAAGGATGGAGGCCATGATCCATGAGGGGAGCAGGAATCCCCTCAGGGATGGAGGCCATGGTCCATGAGGGGAGCAGGAGCCCCCTCAGGGATGGAGCCCACAGTCCATGAGGGGAGCAGGAGCCCCTCAAGGATGGAGGCCATGGTCCATGAGGGAAGCAGGAGCCCCTCAGGGATGGAGGCCATGGTCCATGAGGGGAGCAGGAGCCCCCTCAGGGATGGAGCCTGCAGTCCATGAGGGGAGCAGGAGCCCCCTCAGGGATGGAGGCCATGGTCCATGAGGGGAGCAGGAATTCCCTCAGGGATGGAGGCCATGATCCATGAGGGGAGCAGGAATCCCCTTCAGGGATGGAGGCCATGATCCATGAGGGGAGCAGGAATTCCCTCAGGGATGGAGGCCATGGTCCATGAGGGGAGCAGGAATCCCCTCAGAGATGGAGGCCATGGTCCATGAGGGGAGCAGGAGCCCCTCACGGATGGAGGCCATGGTCCATGAGGGAAGCAGGAGCCCCCTCAAGGATGGAGCCCACAGTCCATGAGGGGAGCAGGAGCCCCTCAAGGATGGAGGCCATGGTCCATGAGGGGAGCAGGAGCCCCTCAAGGATGGAGGCCATGGTCCATGAGGGGAGCAGGAACCCCTCAGGGATGGAGGCCATGGTCCATGAGGGGAGCAGGAGCCCCCTCAGGGATGGAGGCCATGGTCCATGAGGGGAGCAGGAGCCCCCTCAGGGATGGAGCCCACAGGCCATGAGGGAACAGGAGCCCTTTCAGGGACGGAGCCCACAGGCCATGAGGGGAATAGGAGCCCCTCAAGGATGGAGGCCATGGTCCATGAGGGGAGCAGGAACCCCTCAGGGATGGAGGCCATGGTCCATGAGGGGAACAGGAGCCCTTTAAGGGACGGAGCCCGCAGGCCATGAGGGGAGCAGGAATCCCCTCAGGGATAGAGGCATTGATCCATGAGGGGAGCAGGAATCCCCTCAGGGATGGAGGCAGCAGTCCATGAGGGGAGCAGGAGCCCCTCAGGGATGGAGGCCATGGTCCATGAGGGGAACAGGAGCCCCTTCAGGGATGGAGGTCATGATCAATGACGGGAGCAGGAGCCCCCTCAGGGATGGAGCCCACAGTCCATGAGGGGAGCAGGAGTCCCTCAGGGATGGAGGCCATGGTCCATGAGGGGAGCAGGAGCCCCTCAGGGATGGAGCCCACAGTCCATGAGGGGAGCAGGAGCCCCTCAAGGATGGAGGCCATGGTCCATGAGGGGAGCAGGAGCCCCCTCAGGGATGGAGGCCATGGTCCATGAGGGGAGCAGGAGCCCCTCAGGGATGAAGGCCATGGTCCATGAGGGGAGCAGGAGCCCCTCAGGGATGGAGGCCATGGTCCATGAGGGGAACAGGAGCCCCTCAGGAATGGAGGTCATGGTCCATGAGGGGAACAGGAGCCCCTTCAGGGATGGAGGCCATGGTCCATGAGGGGAGCAGGAACCCCTCAGGGATGGAGGCCATGGTCCATGAGGGGAGCAGGAACCCCTCAGGGATGGAGGCAGCCGTCCATCAAGTTCCCCAGCTGCTGAAATCAGGGTGCTCCAGCTCCTGAGCCATCCTACCAGCCATATCCATGGGTTTGAAGCACAGGTCCCTCTCCTCTGCTGACCAGGAGTCGTTGCGATCCAGGAACTCCTTGTAGGACATCTTCTCATCCATGATTTCTCCTGGGAATACTGACATGGGAGAAGAAAATGACCCAGTCAAAAGCCTGGTAGTGAAATATTTCAAATGGATCGTTGCACGATGAGACATTTGGATGTGAATCCCCAGGTAACAGGGACTGGCAGCCAAACCAGAGACCATAACATTCATTTTTGGCTGGTTTGATCCAGCTCTTCAAATACAACAAATATACAAAATAATGGGGATTTCTGTGTCCTGAGGCACATGTAAGATCAAGAACAGACTCACATGGAAGTGCTGTCCTGGTCCAAGGCCTCCAGTTGTACAAAAAGAACAAAACCGTAAGTCCTGAGGCTTTAAACAGGACAAACTCAGTGGAAAGGTTCAAAATTAATACCCAGACTAATGACTTTTAACTTTATTTCCATTTTAAGAAGGCCTGAATTTTTCAGCTCTTCTGAGGACAACATTAGAGTTTTAAACTGGTTCCAGTTTCTTCTGGAAAGAAACACAGAAATATTTACAGGGACTCCTTCTCTCAACCCCCATACAACATTCTCTATATCTCTTTATGCTTTTAAAATTTTTACCTTTACTTAGGCTGACAATACCTGCAAGCCTGGAGCTTAGCAGATGAAATTCATCACAAAATATCCCTGGATATAACCCTTAATTCAGTGCAAAGCTGCAGTTACTAAAAACAACCTAATGTTAAGGCACAGTAGGACCAGAAGGGAAGAATTCATTAAAAACATGACCCTGGTCTGTAAAACAACAACCTGGAGGTGTCAGGTGGGCTGAGAGCTCACAGCAAGGTGGCCAGTGATTAATAATAATAATAATAATAATAATAATGATGATGATGATGATGATGATGATGATAATGTAATTGAAAAAAGAATAAGATGAAGAATAGCTTTTGTGGGGCTTGGAGTTTGTTTTACATCATAAAACAAGGATTGGTACAAATCATCAGTGGGTTCAACAGTTTGCTCAGAGTTTGGGTTTAGAGGAGCAGGAGAGGATTCCTTGCAGTTTGAAACATGTCCAAACCTCTGATTAGAGGTAAATATTAAATATTACTTCTCATTAATCATAGAAATATTTAATAATAATAATATAAAACATAGGATAATTTATGTTACATATGTTAAAATTAAATGTAACATAAATATAAAGCATATATTAGATAGCATATACATTATATATATAATATATACATTAGATATACTCTATAATATAGTTTCTATGCTTTCATGCACATTATACTACATATTATAAAATATATTTTATCATGTATAGCTTATACATTTTCATGTGTTTTCTATTATATGCCTATACATGATATAATTTTATCTATTTATAAATAGATGTAAATTATGTATGATACATTATTCTATACATATTTTTATTTATATATACAGACAGACACATACATACATACATATATACATATATATATAAATGCATATATGTAATGACTAATACAAATAATGTAAATATTACTTCCAGTCAGGAGTCAGGCTCTGGCTCTGGAGCTCCAAGTGCTGCCGTGTCCCCAGGGTGTGGCCCTGTGAGCTGAGGGCTGTGTGACACTCATTGTGTGTGTGACACTCCCTGTGTGTGACACTCCCTGGTGTGTCCCCTTTGTGTCCCCATTCCCAGCTGATCCCAGGCCAGGCAGGAGCTTCCCGGGGTTTAGGTCCCTCTGAGGGTCACACAGAGGGATGGTACCTTGTCCCCTGTGCCACCCTGGGCAGGAGCAGGACACAAGCTCTGCCTGCCCCATCCCAAAATTCCCACCTGGGTGTCCCAGAGCAGCACCCACACAGCCCCAGCAGGAGCTCCCGGGTGCAGAACAGATCCTAGAGAGATGCTGCTCCAAGGAAACACAAATAAAATTGATATTTTACACCTACACACGCTGGGTCCAGGCATCACAACACTCCCACCACTTGTCTCCCAGGAAAACAGGACCCCGAGCAGCCCTGCAGCCTGCCCTGATCCCATTCATCCCGAGCAGCCCTGTCCTGATCCCATCCCTGTCCCGATCCCATTTCTGCCCTGATCCCATCCATCCTGAGCAGCCCTGCCCTGATCCCATCCCTGTCCTGATCCCATCCCTGCCCTGATCCCATCCCTGCCCTGATCCCATCCCTGCCCTGATCCCATCCCTGCCCCGATCCCATCCCTGCTCTGATCCCATCCCTGCCCTGATCCCATCCCTGCCCTGATCCCATCCCTGCCCTGATCCCATCCCTGCCCCGATCCCATCCCTGCTCCGATCCCATCCCTGCCCTGATCCCATCCCTGTCCTGATCCCATCCCTGTCCTGATCCCATCCCTGCCCTGATCCCATCCCTGCCCTGATCCCATCCCTGCCCTGATCCCATCCCTGCCCTGATCCCATCCCTGCCCTGATCCCATCCCTGCCCCGATCCCATCCCTGGCCTGATCCCATCCCTGCCCTGATCCCATCCCTGTCCTGATCCCATCCCTGTCCTGATCCCATCCCTGCCCTGATCCCATCCCTGCCCCGATCCCATCCCTGCCCTGATCCCATCCCTGCCCTGATCCCATCCCATCCCTGCCCTGATCCCATCCCAGCCCCGATCCCACCACCCCGAGCAGCCCTGCAGCCCCAGCAGCAGCACTTGGCACGGGCTCACTGTTTTTCTGCCAGAGCTCTGAGCTTTTACCCTGCTCAGTGAGTCCCTTTGCCGTGGCTGACTGCAGCAGGGGCACACAGCAGTTCCAGACAGGGTGACACCACCTCTGCCTGCCCCTGACAAAGGACAGGGGACATGGGGGACAACAACCCCCATGTGTTCCGTGGAAAACCCAGCCTGGGCAACACTGAGCTTGGAGCAGCTAAAAGCCTGATCATTTCAGTAAAAAAATTTGATTAATATTTTATTTAATAATATAATGTAATTTTGGTACTGTTTTATTTAGCTTTGCAAAGTGCTTTGGAGATAAAGTGCCACTGCAATGTGTCAAGAGACATTATTATTATTTACCATTATTTGTAGTACAGAACAGCAAGGGATTTAATTAGATTCCACTGTAAATTCCTCTAGACAGGAGCCTGTCATTCGCATGTCTATAAAACTATTTAAAGCAAAAAGAAAAAAAAAGACACTAAAAGTCCTTGACAGTGTGAGGAAGAGCCTGGGAGCAGTTAAGAACATTCAAGAACTTCTTCAAAGATGATATTATGATATTATGACATTAACAGAGCGCTGGGTTGGACCCACACTGAGGCTGATGGAGAGCACCCACTGCTTGAACTCTGAATATTTGAAACAAATCTGTTTTTTAACACTAAAAACATATTGGCATATTGCCATGATTAAAGATTACACAGGGAAGAACATAAAATTAGGGTCAGAAAGGTAAACCTGAAGAAACCCCTCCACTTTGGGGGGCATTTCAGTACCAGGTCGTGTTCATGCCTTTCAACACAGAGGGGAACCACACCCGGGGCTGGAGAAGGAGGGAGCAGCAGGAGACAAAAGGAATTGTGATGGGAAATATTTCCATTTCCATCAGATGAAACCAAGCTGAGCAAAACTCAGCCAGTGTTTGCAAGCCCTGAGCTGCAGCAAAGCCCCAGAGCTGGCTGGAAGCTGGATCAGGAGCAGCTGGGAGCTGCCTCTGCCAAATCCTTCCCAATGCAAACCCAAGACTGGAATATTCCTCACACAATATTTTCACAACAGATGCAAATTAAAAACTCAAACCAGGCAGTGCTTTCCAGCAGGAATCCCGGTGCAAGGAGGGATGCAGGCAGCTCTGGAGCAGGGAGAGGAGAGCAGAGCAGGGCCAGCCACAGGGACAAAGCTGGACCAGCCACCCCCTCCCTGGGCCAGCCAGGACCAGCAACCCCTGCCAGAGCCAGGACAACAAAGATTTCTGGATCACAGTCACCATCAGCAAACCCCCTCAGCTATTCCCAAAATGTTTTCCAACTTATGTGCCATGAAGTGGACACTTCCAGCTTATTTATTGTCCCCATCCCAATATTCAGCTTCCCCTTATCAAACCTGGAACACAAAACATGATCTCAGATTTCCCAAGGACTGGGAAAAGAGGATTTTTCAGTTCCAAACCCAAGCTCCCCAAACACCCCTTCTGCCTCTGACCTACCAACAAAAGACACAAAACAACAAAAAGGAGAAGCCAAACTCTTCCAAGACACAGTGCTGCCAGTGCCTGTGAATGTGCAGCAGCAGCAGATAATGCACTCCACGCAAAATGCAAATCTGACAGATCCCACAGACCTGTAAAGCAATTTTAGCAAGTATTAAAGCTGGCTGATAGCCGAAAATCCGGTTACGAGCCCTGATAATATAAACCAATGTAGGATTAGAGCTTACAAAGTCTTGCTTAAAGGAAAAAAGACCATTAACAACGTACTTACAAAGCAAACTTGCTTCTGAAAGGAAAAACAAGGATCCCATGCAAGTAGCACCTTCTGTGCACTGCTCCCAGGGCAGGAGGAGGCTGGAACGCTCAGCAGAGCTGCTGACAGCGTGGAATTGTTTGTTTGATCATCTCTCTGCACAGGTCAGCGCGGTCACATCACCCAATTCACAGCTAATCCAGCCAAAAGTGCCCTTGTGGCCACCTACCCTGTGCCCAGGCTGGGAGCTGGGGCAGGACACGCTCCTGGAGCTGCTGGCACACAGGACACCCCAGGGAATGTCCAGCCAGGGGCTCTGTGAGCACAGGATTACCCTCTAAAGCCTTTGCCCTGCAGGAGATGCTAATCTTGGCAGGTCACTGGCCAGACCTCCAGCTCGGGGTTAAGGAGCTTCAAAATGACTGAGTGAGCAGCCAGGAGAGGGCCCTGCCAGCAGCCAGCAGGGAAAATGGGGAAAGGGAGGCTTGGGAGCTCCAGTCCTGCAGTGGATCCCAAAGGGAATTTGCCCAGATCACCCTGGGATGAGGAGGCACAGCTGGAATCCCCAAAGAGCAGCAGTTTTATCAGCCATGCCAATCAATTCCCATCAGCCTCACAAGGAATGAAGGTACCCCCCCAGACACA